AATATTTTATCAAATCCAACGAGCTTTGTGCAAATTATATATATATATATATATACATTAGTGTTGCACAAAAACAAAATGATTTTATTTATTTATTTATTTTCATTTGCTTTCTAAAATAACCAATTTTTGATGTTCTTTTCTACATGATGTTAGTAAATTCAAATATTATCAATTGTTTTGTTTCCCAATATTTCTTTTTAAAAACTGAGAAAATAAATATTGAATATTGCCATGACGTACGGTAAGCATCCATTATTGATATATCAATGCATATTTTAGTCAAATATTTTTAATTTGATCCAAATATAATAGTAAGATCACAATGAATGCTATGAATTTCATAAAACATTGAAATATTTATTCATAGGTTATATATTATGGTTTAACTTGAAAATACTTCATTTTTGTGTTAACTCAATAAAGTATTTATTGGCTTTAAAACATAACCACCCCTCAGGTTTAGTGTGAGTGGATGAGACCCACAGGTTTAAACAAACAAATCCAAACATTATAATATCTGACATTTTCATCCAAAATATAACCACCGTTAGTCTAATCGTTATCTAATACACAAAATTTGACAAAAAGATATAAAAATCCTTTCGTCTTATCTAATTATAAAAAAAAAAAAAAATTAAATACAATAAATATAAAAAATCCGAAAAATGTTTTTCATAAAAATTATATTTTTTATCTAATAAAATTACAGCAATAAGTGTTTAAATTAGAGAAAAATATTTCTTATAATGTCAATTAAAACAACACCCATTTGTATTGAACATCTTTATTAAATTGAAATTATATTTTAACTTGCAGTAACTTACAATCAAGATTATGTAAATATCAAAACCAAATTAATTGTTGGTTTTGGAGAATTTAACATCATAATAGCTTTCTGCAGAGGAAGCCAAAGACAATACTTATGAGTAAACTACTTTTCCCCACCCAAGATTTGTCTTAACAACAATTTCCACCTAAAGTTTATATTCTGTTAATACCCAAGATACACTTCACTTTCTCAACCGGAGTTTGACAAGTTACTAAGAGTCAGGGTGAGAGGGGTTTGGTAGAGTGGAGGCTGGTGAATCGAATGGTGGTGATCGGTTGAATATTCATCACCCGTATCAGCTAGAAATTAGCTAAGAACATAAAATCTTAGCTTTGCGGTGGCCGACAATCTGCGAGAAATTAAGTGCTGGAGTGAAAGAGATTTTGTAGAGAGGAGACTGAACATTCAAATGGTGGTGACGGCGACAATAGGCTAGAATCGGCTTTGGTTAGTAACAAAATATTAACATTGGGTGGAAAAGTGATATTTTGAAACTTTTTGGGTGAGAAAGTGTTATTAAGGCAAACCTTGGTGAGAAAAAGTCGATTACTCATTACTTATATATATTGGGTTGATTGAATGCATCTTAAATTATCATGCGAAATATCTTCATCACCTGTGAATCTTGAATATGAAAATCTAGTGTTAATAAAATGAAAACCCACAAACATTTGTCCTTTCCACCGCAACAATAATTGAAATGTGACAACTTTCACATATATATCAATAATTGTAGTATCTATCGATCTCTTATTTGTATTATAGCCAACAAACATGTTGTTCTATATTGGCCAATAGGATACAACCCTAAATTTAATGTGATATATTTGAGAAAAGATGGAGTGGCGCCTATTCATCGTCTTCACAAAAGCTTACGACAAAAGTAAATGGAGTCCTTTTTGGTGTTTTTCCGTTTGGTTTATCAAATGTTGGAATGGACTGTTTTTGAGAACGACTCTAGAATTGATATAATATAATATGCATTGACAAATAGGTGTTTTGGTGTTGTCCTCGCATCACAACTACTCTCTTTATAGCGGCATATATTATGCATTGAAAATATTATTATATATAACTAATTAAGTACTGAAATTCATAAGAGATTTCCAATCTTGGCTACCACTGCAGTACGGGAAATTCCCAGTATTTAATATTGTCCATGCGAGCTCTACACAGGAACTCAATTTTGTACTATAATAAAGATTATACAAATAATCAAGGCCGAACAAAACATTTTCCCACCTGAAGTTTGCCCTAAAGAAGGTTTCGTACTTAAAAAATTTGAAAACTACGATTACCCACCCACCATATAATGTATGAGGCTAAAAATATTAGTTATGAGTTTATTAAGAGATGGATGATGTGAATGAAAAGAAAGGCGATCACATCATGTTTAAAGGGAACTACTTTTAGGCTTGAGCAAATGAATGAAACGTTTATCCAAGAGTACAAATATGAGCCACATTCACCCGTTTTCTCCTTTATGGTACATTCATATCCTGTAGCCCTTTGAAAGCAAAACCAGAGCCACCAGATTTACTTTTCATTTTCATTTTCATGTTCTGTGGTCATTTTTCTGGCCACCCTTTCGGACTTGGTGAGTTGGTGAGATCAAACAGACAGATGTGATATGGTACCCTGTACATGGGTTGTAACACCAGTAAGACATGGCCAGAAATGTAAAAAAGAAACCAAATAAAATCTCGTGTCTTCAACGTTTCTAAATATTGGAGAACCCTATATATATATATATAGGTTTTTATGGGATGTGACTGGTGAGATAAAAGATTTTAAATATATAAAATTTCACTGACTCTGACCCATGATTACACAGACAGTACCAGCTAAAATACACCCTTTTCAACACAAGAAAAATGCAAATCTCTCACAAATCAGTATGGAACTTGATTTAGATTTTCTTTGGCTGATTTTGTGTAAAGAGGGGAGAAGTATTATGTGGTTTTTTTGTTCCCTTATTTATTGAAAGGGAATAAATGAGGTAAATCTTTCTATTAGATTTAATTGGAGTAGTTGACAGAAAAGGCATTTAGAGACCGGATTATAGTTACTTTTACTGATAGCTGACATTAAAATTAGGCATTAAATTTAAAGACTAGATTACTTTTTCTGAGCATTGAAAAACCTGACTAATGCATATTTTGTAAATGGCTACAGAGCTCAGGCGAAGAGATAAAAAGATGTTAGGGTTTCTTCATTTTTTGAGGGGATTATATATATAGGTACATATTTCAATTAGATTATTTCTTCATACGATATAGTTAAATACCAAATACGTATATGTTAACACCTCATCACTCCGTAGTCCGTACTATCTTTAGTTTGACAGAGGGAGAGAGACAGATTAGGCTCTTCATTATGGGGTTTGGGAAGAGAATTAAGATAAGTAAAAGAAAGGTCCTAAACGACAAAATATCCCAATACCCAACTGGTAGCCGGCCCTGCAAGAGAGTGAAATGGAAGCAAACAGAAATGAGGAATGTTATATGTATAAAGAAATCTTATGGAGGTTGATGTATAAAGTGGTATAACAAAAAATGAATAAAAGAGTAAATACAAAAAGTTAAATTCATCATATTTATTATTTCATTCATTTTTTGTTACAACATTTTAAACATAAATCTTTATAAGATTTTTTTGTACACAAAAAGCTCTTCTTCTTTTGGGTGCCAAAGCTTTACAAAATAATGATCCTGGACTGAATGCACAAGTACTAACCCCAGAAAACGCTTTTAAGCACTCGATGTACCACAAACAGCGCCATTCATGTGTGTTGTTGGCTTATAGAGGTAAGTCTATCAAGAATCCTCCTTCATATTAGCCGTCCTTAAAGGGAAAGTTTTTCCAAATTGAGTCAATTAGAGCGATGGGAATAATGTTATTCGTTTTTGGTTTGTTTAAATGGCCGCTGTCCTACTACCCTTTGAAGACAGAAAAGAGAAGAAACCGTACAACTTTCTTGACTCAGATTAAGCATGCTCGTCATGCTATGGAAGAAGGCAAGAAGCTATCTTTATACACAGTAATTTTGTCTTTTTTTGGAAATTACCTACAGGTTGTAACGCCTGTTCAATATCAGTTGAAAGCTCAGAACCCTAGTTTTATATAGCCCACTCAAAATTAATAGTAGCCTTAAACCCTAGCTCTAGCAAGACACTTGATTTCTTGTCTAAATTGAGGGGTATATTGAAAAGGTTGCCCATCAGTCCCTACCATTGTTGTGCTCCCGCATTTAATGGCACAAAGCTATGTCTTTTACCACACAAATTTAATCATTTCTATATGGATTCATCCCACTTCTTTCCTTTCAGCTCTCTCCATCTCAATTTTGCCCTACAAATGGTGTGAACAGATACAAAACTATTTTGTCTCCAACAAATGCCATGTAGCTACTGGCTTTTATCTAATCAAATTCTTTCTAATCTATTCCTTCTCTCTCTCTCTCTATATCTGTTGCTTAATGCAAGGCTGCCCTGAATCTTAGTATTAATACCTCATTTCGCCAATGGAGTTTTCTTCATCAGTTTAGAGAAGCTAGGGCTTGTACTGTCAGTTTTTCTGGGTAAAAATGTTCTCTTCCACCACCAGCATCAACCATTTTACAAATTTTTCTTCCTCTTGCCACCATTTTCCTTCTCTATTTTCTGGCCACGACACCAACAACGTTTTGCTCAACTACCAGCACGATCCACTCACTGGTGTACTGTTCCCCGCAAATCCTCGGATGACTGAATCTTTCACTAACATGCCCTTTTCAGCCAATGCTACTATGGGAAGACAAGATATCGACTGCCTCAACACAGAATGTTATGATCCTTCAAATTTTATGGGAACCTGCAAGAGGCCGGCTGCAAGGAAAGATCGGCACAGCAAGATTTACACCGCTCAAGGTTATAGAGATCGGAGAGTGAGACTCTCCATTGACATTGCTCGCGAGTTCTTTGATCTTCAAGACACGCTAGGGTTTGACAAAGCGAGCAAAACGCTAGAGTGGCTGTTAATGAAATCAAGAAATGCCATCCACGAACTACAAATTATGAAGAAAAACAACAATGAAGAAATAGAGAGGACACCTGTGGGTGTTTCTGAAGAGAAAGAGACTGAAAAGGTGCCTCAGAAAGATGCATTAATTCTTCCAAAGGAAATCAGGGACAAGAATAGAGCGAGGGCGAGGCAAAGGACTAAAGAAAAGATGTGGATTAGAAAGATCCATGAGTGTCAAAAAGGTTCCAACACAAGCTCCCAAATCTTGACCCAATTGAAGTCCTTCACCCAATTCAAAGCATCTGAGACAAACATGGAGTCCTCCTCCAAGGATGCTGCGCATGAAGCTGAAGAACCTACTCTCCATGTACCAGCGAATCTTGCGCCGGTTTTCGAGGACTCCGTTGCATTGAAAAGGAAGCTGAATTTATCTTCAATTTTTGCTTCTCAGCAAAATCTTGGAATGTCAAAAGATGCAAGCTGCAGTGCAAGCAAATATAATCACAATTTAACTCAAAATTTGGACATCAATAGTGCAATCCCTCACTCTACCTTTCGTGCTATTACCAACATGAATCTGTCTGCAGGTATATATGTTGAGAGAATGAGTGTATATAAATCTTTCTCAAATTTCCGGATAATATAATATCCCTTAGATATATATTCATTTTCTATCTCAATTTCAGGACTCCAAATTTATGGCAAAATCTGGGAGGCACGCAACACAGAGAGTCAATACTGATCGGTGCATGAACTTTTAAAGGTGTCCTGTTAGTTTGTTTAAGTTTGTTGTACGAAAGTCAGGGTATCCTGGATGCTAGCTGAAGTTTATCTTTTCAATTCTCTGAATTTGTGTTGTGTTGGAACTAGAATCAAGTACTTTCTCTATGTTTTATAATATTCATTTTTGTTTCGATAATTTTTCTTTGATTAATTGTTGGGATAATTGTTGATGGCAAGCAAATAGTAACTCAAAGTTACAACATTAGACTAAAATCAAGTACACACTACTGCTTTTAATGAACATTTCATATTATATGTTTAATGCCGACACTTATGAGATTATTCACAAAGAATATTTACTGACAACAAAAGGTTAATTCTCATGTTTAAATTCAGAGGAAACTCAAGAATTTTCAAGCAGCTGTATATCACCTCAACATATTGTTTTGTGAAAAGGAAGAAATTTGGCACTTCAACTGATGAGGACACTTAAAAATTTCCAAAAACCCATGTATATCTGTTAAAAAATTCATAAATATGATGTTAAGCATGAAACCTATCGCTAGAGCATTGAGTAAATCTACTGTGTTTGACAATTTAACCTCAGATCAAGTGCTGTATAAGAGGCTCTAAGGAATTTAGTTGAATTAATCCATAGAGCCTCATTCTTTAATACTATCAATGGATTCCATGGATGTTTTATTTTTATGTAAACATGATATTAGAGATGTAAGCATATATATGGAACAGGTAGATGTGGTTCCAGATTATGTCTTTTTCATGACTATGATTTATTTCTTTCATTTACCTTAAAGCTTTGGATCACTGCAATTTGTGGATATTCATATGCTTGAGCTTGCTCATTGCAGTTTAGCTTATTCATCATCACCAGCAGAATGTTGTTCCTGTACTAGTACATATCATTTACTAATTATAAGCAATTTGACTATTGGATTCATTAGAAAATGAGATAAATTTAATAAACAGTTCAAGGAGCTTCACAATAATTCTTCTCTGGAAACCAGAGAGCATATATAGATAATATTTGAACATAACTTGCTCAGACAGACCGCACTCATGCACTTTAATTTCTTTCTAATATTGACAAATGTGCAGTCAGTTTATGAAAAAACAGTATTGGATAGGGATTAGATGCATAAACTTTGAATCCAAAATACAAACTCCATATATTTTGCTATATTCTATTTCACTGGATTTTGGAGGAAAAAGTGAGCACATATCTTTTGAATTTTGAAACTAGCAAGATGTTTTGGTCAAGTCTGAAGTTTACTATAATCTGTAAAACCAGGGTATATGGTCCTTTCAAGTCTTGAAATTGATTTAAAATTTTGACCATAGTTTGTGTTTTAATGTTTGAAAACATTAATTAAACAGATTATACATGTTTAAGTTGAACTTTATATCCTCTAATGCCTCTACTTCAACATTACAAAAAAGTTAGATGAATAGCCACTCATAACCATGACGGAGCATGATCTATATATATAGAACATATATAGCACTTCACTATGAGATTCTAATTAAACTGAATATATGTTATTACGTCTTAATTTCTATAGAACTATTGGCCCTCGAAGACCAACATTATTTTTTATTTCTTTTGTTTATGTTTTGTACTCTTTTTGATTGTGTTATTGGTAGTGATTGTTAAGTTTAATTCTTTTGTGTACTTGGTTTGCTAGAGTATAAATAGACTTGACTATTATTTTCTGGGTTTGGCTACTATTTGTTGATATTTTTCTGGGTTGAGTCTTGAGTGTTGTTGCTGTTATTGTTGTGGTTTGATTGAGTATTGGAAGGTATCTATCAAATGGTATCAGGTATCTATCAAATGGTATCAGAGCGGTTCAGTTGTGGGATGGTTGGTACCAGAATGGAAGTTAGAATAGGAAATGTTGAGAGGGAAGTGTCAAAACTTGGAAGAGATACTGATGTTGTTTGGGATGGTTTGATGGAAATATGAGCTTGAATGAGAAGGAAAGATGAAGAAGAAGTAAGGCGAAGAGGTAGAGGGAAATCGCCGAAAGTTCCAGAGTCATTGGGAACTATTCACAATCAGAATCTGGGAAGTCTAACAGAGGTAGGAAGGAACAACGCTTTGGCACAACTAGGCATGGTGGAGGTAGATCAGAGAAAGTTTGAGGTTGTCTCAGCCCCGTTAAGTGAAGAAGAAGATATTTTGAGGGATTATTTTGTAAATGGGCTGAAATATGATTTTGAGGGATTATTTTGTAAATGGGCTGAAATATGAAATTATCATTTGGCCTGGAAAACAATAGAAAGTAAATGGGCTAGGGTGCACAATTCGAACTTGGGTTAAAGGTCCACTTCTTTTATAACAGGCCAGACGACTTTAGCAAGACCCAATCCACTCTTAATAACCTAAGACCTGCAGTTACTTCTTCGATTATGCGATGGTATTGGCAGGAAGAACCACCTGGTGCCACGAGGCCGCCAGATTCCAAAGCCCAAGTACTGCACCGAACCGATAAGCCGATTACAACTTCTACCCACGACGAACAACTACTTTCCGACGAATGACAAAAATTGATGTACTTAGAGGGGGAAATTTACAAGAACAATTTGCTTCTGAGGTTGTAATCGATGTCATAGTGTGCGGGAGATGTGGATACAATGTACCTTGTGATGTTTGTTTATATCTGGTGAATCCTTGAAGTTGGGTGATGGCTTAGCAACCATTGATGAACATAACCCTTTCCTCTTCTATGGTGCAAAGGTGATTAAATGGCATGGTCGCATGCTCACAAGGTTTATGGGTATGGACACAACATGGGATGAGATGATGAGTCAGGTTACTAACACTCCCAACCAGACCCCATTACTAGCTCAACTCGACAAGGTGAGCATTGGCACACAAATTATTGGGCTTTCAATCTCAATTTTTATTCCGTTAGTGGTTTTCCTACATTTTGAGGTCAGAAAGCAAAAGCATCATCCTAGGATGCCAAACATCAAAGAGAAACCAACTTCGATCAAGGACTTAATGGAGGCTATCAAGAGGATTATCTTCAGACCAAGTGGTAAGGAAGTTTGGATTGGCGAAGAACTCATCAATGAAGATTCCATGATAGATGAGCATGTTATTGACGCTCTGTGCAAAAGAATTAGCATATCGTTTATGATGCCACAGGGTCCCAGTAACTCAATTGAAGATTGGCTCCTTTCCAAGGCTACATTGAAGTTGGGAGCAGAAAAAGAGACTAATAAGCAAAGTTGCACCATTGTTGATGCCAAAAATCTTAGCTTCACGGAAGAGGAAAGCAAAATATTGATGAGGGAGAATAGAGATAAGGAAAACCATATGTGGTTGCATTACAGAGGACCTGCAAAAGTGATATTATCCATGTGTTCTTGCAACTTTGATTGTAAAGGGACAATGAATAACATGAATGAACAAAAAAAGTCAGATTTTGAGCGAGTTGTTGAGTGTATGCCGTCTAAACAACTCAAAATTATGGCAATTGCTTATAATGCTTCATCGTTTGAAGATAGCAGCTTACCATTAATTAGGCTACTTGGTCTGAAGCATATATGCTGGACAGAGACAAGAAAAGCAATAGAGGCTTGCAGAAAAACAGGTATTGGTGTCAAACTCATTTCAAAAGATAAGCTGGCGGATATGGAAGGCATAGGTCTTGATTTTGGATTGCTTTCCGACTCAGATAAATTGGTACTTGAAGCTGAAGACTTTTGAAAGTTCACCGAAAAAAAGAGGCTAGAATTGGTAGATAAAATTTATGTGATTGGGAACTTTCCCCTTTCTAACCAGGGTATTCTTATTCAGTGTTTGAAGCAGAAGGGCCACATGTAGCAACGATTAGAGTCAAAACAAATGAGACTCTAGCACTTAAAGAAGCTAATGTGGGGATTGCTATAGGCACTTGGAGTAGTGAATTGGCCAGAGAGAGTTCGAAAATTATCATTTGGGATAGCAATTTCAGATCCTTGGTTACCATTTTTAGCTGTGGAAGATGTGCTTACAATAATATCCAAAATTATATCCAACTTGAGATCACCATTGTTATTTCAGAGTTATTGATAACCATTATCATACAGTTGCATTTGGGGGTACCTCAATTACAGCAATTCCCATTCCTCCACCTTGAGGATAAGGTGGTACTGTTTGGGGAGGGTATTGATGAGACCCCTAATATGCTGGTTTATGGTAGGAGACATAAAGGTGCAAAGTAGAGGATTTTGGGTAGTTGGCAAGAAGGTTCTTTGTGCATGAGGTTTGTTTAGGAGGGACATATGACATTAGGGGAATGGGTGATTGAGATGTCAGCAAAAGAAAAGGAGAGGCAGGGAGATTTGAGAGGATATTCAGAAAAGAGAAAAGTAGAGTGGGAGGTTGCTGGCCCTTGAAGTCTAGCACTATTTGGGAGGAGTTGGCCCCTGAAGACCAACATTATTTTTTATTTCTTTTGTTTAAGTTTTGTATTCCTTTTTATTGTGTTATTGGTAGTGATTGCTAAGTTTAATTCTTCTGTGTACTTGGTTTGCTAGAATATAAATAGACTTGACTATTATTTTCTGGGTTGAGTCTTGAGTGTTGATGCTGTTATTGTTGTGGTTTGATTGAGTATTGGAAGGTATCTATCAAATGGTATCATGTATCTATCATAATGATACTTTACTTATTATAGATTCATATCTGTTATTAGACAGCATAAAAGATTCTTTACATATTCAATTAAAAGTAGTACTTCCCTTGGTATGACCTTCTATCTCCTTCTTAGTTACTACTTTAGTTACAAATGTGCATACTAGGGTTACTATATCAAAACATTCTTTGTCTCAATCTAGAGTACATATACTTCTGTCTACTCATGTAATTTTACACGAACCCAAATCTATTATAGAAGCTTTGAAAATACCTGAATGGAAGGATGTTATGGCAATAGAACATCAAGCTTTAATGAATAATAACACTTGGGAATTAATTCCTTATGAAGATGGTATGAATGTAGTTGATAGTAAATGGGTGTTCAAAAACAAAGCTAAACTCATATGGCTCTCTTCAAAAGTACAAGGTCTGGTTAGTTGCTAAAGGGTTTCAACGGATCCCAAGATTAGTTTACTTTGGTGCCTTCTCACCAGTTATTAAGGTAGTAACCATTAGAATCATGTTATCCCTAGTTGTTCATCATAATTGGGAAATTCAGCAAATTGATGTTAACAATGCTTTCTTGAATAGAGAGTTATCAGAAAAGGTGTTTATGCAGCCTCCTAAAGGATTCTCAACCAAAACAAGTGTGTAAACTACATAAGACCTTATATGGTCTTAAACAAGCTCCAAGAGGTTGGTTTGATAAATTGAAAAATGCTTTGTTAAATTGAGGTTTTGTCATTTCAACTTCTGATGTCAGTTTGTTCCTTTACAAACAAGGGTCTCAAATGGTTTATCTTTTAGTATATGTAGATGTCATCTTGTTAACAGGAAATAGTCATCAAATTATATCCCAAGTAGTAAAAGATCTCAACATGCAATTTGCTCTAAAACCCTAGGAGAAGTTCAATACTTTCTTGGTTTTGAGATGACTATAAACTTTTCAGGATTGTTATTGACTCAAACCAAACATGCTAAAGATTTACGCCTAAATGCCAATATGACATATTGCAATCCTTGTATAACACCTATGGCTACTGGAGCTAAACTAAGGAGAGAAGATTGTGACATGTTTGATTAGCCAACTCTATATAGGAGTATCATTGGAGGTTTGCGGTATCTTATCCTATCTAAACCAGATTTGACTTTTGTTGTAAATGAGTTAAGCCAAATTCTTCAAGTCCTTACTATAGCTCATTGGACTACATGTAAAAAGGTTCTAAGATATGTTAAAGGAACTCTACAACATGGGATCTTGTTTACAAAAAGGGAACATTTTTCTATTAAAGCATATGCTGATGCTGATTGGGCAAGTGATGTGAATGATAGGAAGTCAACCAATGGGTATTGTGTTTGCCTTGGAGGAAATTTGGTTCAATGGAGTTCAAAGAAATAGAAAGTGGTTTCTTTATCATCTACAAAAGCATAATACAAATCCTTGAGTCAAGCTGCCACTGAACTTGTGTGGATTCAGCATTTGTTTAAAGAACTTGGGATTGAGATGAATAACACCCTTATGATTTGGTGTGATAATATGAGTGTTGGAGCCTTATCATCCAATCATGTATTCTATGCTAGAACCAAACATATAGAAATCAATGTCCATTATGTTAGAGAATTGGTGGCCAATAGAATCTTAAGTGTCCAATATGTGGCTTCTAAGTATCAAACAGTTGATATTCTCACCAAGGCACTTCCAGGTAATAGGTTTGGCATTTTAAGGGACAAGTTAAATGTTGTCTCTATTCTTCCTAAGTAATTGCATGCTGATTTAGTAAGCTGATCTGGTAATAGGTCATGTTGTATTTTGTAATGTGTGTAAGAAATTAAAGAAGATAACATTATGTTGGTGTAGTTGTAGCAGGAAGAATGTTGATATAGTACTAGAGTGAGTCTAATGAGAGTAATTTTTTTTTTTTTTTTTTTTTGGGTGAATATAATTGCAAACTTATTTGATATGTTGAGGTGTTGTGTATTATAGAGTCGTGCAAATTTTATTAACAACTGTAAGAGTACTATTGGTGTAGCATTGATGTAAGTCTGAAGAGATGATTTGCTTATAGTTGTAGTTATAGTGGGTGTGATGTTGATATAGTTTTGTGTGGTGTGATGTTCGGCAAATTTTATTGGTGGTAGCAGGTGCAGTATTGGTGTAATGTTGATGTAAGTCTAAAGAGGTTATTTGCTTCTGGTTATACTTGCAGTAAGTGTGATACTAATGTAGTGTTGACATAAGTATGAAGAAGTGACATGATAGTGATTGTAGTTACAACAGGTGCAGTATCTGAAGAAATGTTTAGTTTAAAGGGGAATATTGGACAAAGCAGGAATTGTTGATCTGAAAAGATGTTTAGTTTAAGGGGGAATATTGGACAGAGCTTACAACCTGGATCCTAGGGGACATTTGTAAAACTAGAAAGTTATGAGAGTGTATATGTTAACCTGGTCTGGGTTAAATTGTGAAAAACAAAAGAAGTTATGTAAAATGCACCGTTTTATGTTTTAAGAAACTATAAAAATGTAGTTGTCTTCTCTTCTAAATCGGTTAAAGAAATACCTAAATTTTTTATATTTTACTTGCTCTTCTTCAAGTGTTCTACATTCTTAATTCTCTTGAAATTACTTTCATCCTTTGATTGGATTAGTCAAGAAAGACTCCTGTTTTGGACGTTACAATGTAAGATGATGTTCATTTTTTGTTATTTTGATTAAAAATCTCTTCTTCTATCCTCCTTAATTGATAAAAGATCATGAGCTATGATGTCCTAGATTGTTTTTATCATTTTATGTGTGTAATTGACATAATTGTATGTTGAAATGACCTGGGTTTACTTAATTTTGGATAATACGTTTTGATTTTTGTTGAGTTTAATGTGATGAAATTGGAAGATGAAATTTAGAGAGAGATATTTGATGTTATTGTCAATGAAGCAATTATACAACGTTTTTTAATTATGAAAAACTGTCGATGACAATTATAGAATTGATAATTTGGTATGTATAATTTTTAAAATTAAATTTTTAGATCAGATTTTTTTATGCTTATTACGTCAATATATATTTTATTGTAAATTTATCAAATTAGATCTTTTAACCCCACTGACTAGAAATCCTAGCTATGCCCTTGGATAAACATATGGATGCAAATGGTTTGAACATGACATTGAGCCTATGGCTGCCTATGAAAGTGACGATGACTTCTTTTAGGCAAATGTCGATGTTGATCATATTGTAATTGAAACCAACCTGAGGTGTCACCTAGCCAAAGGGTCGGGTCGGGTCCCGGGTTGACCAGTCCTATCGGTGATCTAGTAAGTTTGAAATCTAGCAAACACACTTTGATAAATACACATCAGCCCTTACAAGTTTAAATCCAACAAACACACCTTGTGATTTGGCCAAACGCAATTTGACAGTCGACTGGTTAGGCAGCGACGACACACCAAGGAGAGCAAATTTGGGAAGTTAGGCTCGAGCAAGGAGGGCGTGTGACAGTAGTCGCACGCAGCTAGCATTACACTACTACGACCGCACGATGGGGGCACAACAAGGCACCTCCTGATATATTTAGGCATGTAGTGCCATGTTGTGAGTAGCCACCATTGTGCATGAAGCAAGAGTTCACACAAAAGTTGGAAATAGAGCTTGCTTGCTATGGTTGGAACAAGGGGTGTGACCCACTAGGGGGTGGCCGTTGGTCAAGTGAGGGTGCAAGGTGAGTAGGAAGGGGTAAGGAGCGTCGGAAAGTGGTCAGAAATGGTCGAAGGTCAAGTTAGGGATTTTTAAGTAGTGGATAAGAGTAACCTGACCTGAAGAAGGCCTTGAGTCCTAATCTAACCGACCAAACCGACGGGGCGATCGGGGTTTAGAACACTAACTGAAACTCAGAATGTTGAAACAATTAAGCGGGATGTTATAATCGAAGAAACACTTCCAAGTCAAAAAGGGTTTGATTACTTATCTGATTACCAAAGTAATAGTGATGCCTATGAAATATTGGAATTATTACAAGCTCTTAAGATGAACACCTAGTGGCTAGAACGATTGATGACATGGAGCGATAACACATTGTAGCAAATGGAGAA